CTATATTGTCATCATCATTTTCTTTCTACTTGAGCACTTGATATGTTCATTTTCCCCTCCCCGCACCCTCATGCCCCCATGAACCCTTGATAATTTAGAATTTGTTTTTCCGTGTTTCACACCAACTGCTGTCTCCCTTTGCCCACTTTTCTATTGTCTGTCCCCCTGGGAGGGGGTTATATGTTGGCCATTGTTATCGGTTCCCCTTGTCTCCCCCCACCTTCCCTGCACCATAGGGATTTCTTGTGGCTCTGCTGGGTAAGCACTGGTCTGTTAACCTCAAGGCCTTAGGATCAAACCCAGCAGCTGCTCTGTAGGAGAAAGATGAGGCTGTCTGCTCCCATAAAAGTTCACAGAGCCTTGGAAAACCTCAACAGGGTCATTATGAGTTGGAATCAACTCGATGGCAGTGGGATGCTTTCCATCTTTATACAAGAAGTAGGCCTTTCTTTTGCAGTACCAACAGGTGGCTTTGAACTGTCAACCTTTCAGTTAACAGTCTAACCAAACCATTTTGCCACCCAGGGGCCTTAGGTAAAAACCATCCTGAAGCTCTAGAGTCAGTTGAGAGTTTCCTGTGCTGCTTGGTGAGCTGCTAATATTGGGGGTCATGAACGCTGCTGCCTCTCCAGGGGCCACCTTGGTTTCATGTCCCCAAGAGTACTCAGCATGTGCCTGAACTGAGTTCTCCGAGTAGAATGTGTAGTTAGGAGGCACTGTGAACACAAACTCTCCCATGCACCATTCCCACCCCGTATTTACTCTGCAAAAGCTCACAAAAACCAGCTGTGACCTCTGCCTGGTGGGGCTTGGGGAAGCACCCACTCAACTGTCATGAAGCGCCTACAGCAGAAATCTCTGTAAACCCAAACCAACCCACAGCTGTGCGTTCCGTTCCGACTCACTGGGACCACGGGGAGGGTCGGTTTCCGAGACCATCCAGACAGCCTCATCTTCCCCGGTCTGAACCACACACCTTGCAGCCAACAGCCCACGCCTAACTCATTTATACAGCGCCATCAGGTTGCTCTATAAACCCAACTCATGGCGACCCTACGGGACAGGACACTGCCCTCGCTTTCTTCCCATGAGCACCTGGTGGAGTCATACTGCGGACACAACAGTTGGCAGCCCAGCATGTACCCACTACGCCAGCAGGGCTCCTTATATATCTCTATAAGAACCAAAAAGTCCTAATCGAAAAGCCCCTTCGGTTCCCCTTCTGGCAGAAGGCACCGGTAACAGTTTTCTAGAACAAGTGTGCTCACAAAGACAGCAGCTGACCAGAGACGGGGAGAAAAGTGACCAACCTAGCGGCTGGTGGGTTAAGGCGCTGAGACCTGCCCAAACCTCCTCAGAAGCCTCAGTGAGGTGGAGGCTGGTAGTCACAAATTCCGAATTGCCCTTGACACCGCCCGCTGTGTCTCCAGAAGGAGTTCTCTCCAAGGGGGAAGGTTGGGGACAAGATGCGTTTGGACGAAACACTGGAGTCAATCCCGACAGATCAGAGCAGGCTGCTCCTGAGGGCTTCCAGCAGGCCACCCCAGCGGAAGCAGGCGGCCTCACGTTTCTTCACGGAGGGGCTCGTGGGGCCAAACCTCCACTTAACCTATTGCTCCACGAGGGCTCAAGTGGCGTGCAGATGGACCCATGAAGGAGTGCTTAAGAAAAGGGAGTGCCCCAGACCTAGGGCCCAGAGCCAGCTTCTCAGATGGCACAGCCCACCCGAGCCAGGGCCGTGAGAAGCAATGATATGCACTGACAGAGACTTGAGGGGCCTTCCTCCATAAGACATCCTGCTAGTATGGACTGAAGCCACTCCCAGGTGCACCTTGCGGCCAAAAAGGAGAGCAGCCTATAAAATAAACAAGAGCGCCATAAAGAAGGTGCTCCTTAGAACAATCAACTCACTATACAAGACCTAGCAGGTGGCACTGGCCCATGAGCACAGTGAGAAGACAAGGAGCAGCCAGGGGAACTGGAGGGATGGGCCGAGGCAGGCGGGGGACAGTGGGACTGCCGAGACTGCTGGGACAGCCACCCAGGTCATAGGGCAGTGTGAGTTCCACCTCTGCACAGGAAACCAGTCTGCTGTGGAAACCTTCACCTAAAACACAGTCAAATGTTTGCTTTTTTTAAGAAACTAAGTGATGGAACATGATCATTTCAACTCTATGCCTATTTTTAAACCTGTTTGACTATGGGCAAGAAATACACTTCACCTTTAATACACAGGCCAGACACGCCCCAGGCACAGTTCGATCAAATACTGGGCCTGACTCAGTGCGGGCAGGAAACCTAGCTAGGTGTCCGCCTGGGCTTAAAACACTTCATGGCGAGCCCCCCAGCCCTGAGGACAAAGATAAAATTCTGCCCTGGCCCCAGGGGCCTGCAGAGAGAGGCCAGGACCAGCTTCCCAAGGCAGGCTTCCTTCTCATGCAGCGGTTCTCTGCCCTGCCATTGGCTCTCCCGATGGGCCCTGACAGTGGGCAGGGCAGGACCGTGAGCTGGCTCTGCGTAGGGGCCAATGGCCAAACCCTTAACCTCTCCCTCCCCAGGTGCCCGAAGAACTCCAGCTCATGCTTTACACCACAGTCCACACATGGCCTCCTTAGCGAAGTCTCTCCTCCCCACTGTCCCCGCCAAAACATAAGAGCCTCCTTACGAGGGGGACACATCTCTTCCCTCGCAATGTCCACAGCAATGGTGGTGGCCGTCACATTCTTATGTCCACAAAGGCAGGAGCTGCTTGTCTTGTTCAGTCCATATTCCCAGGCCCTATGCACGTTGGGCTGCTAACCACAGGTAGGTGGTTCAAATCCACCAGCAGCTGAAAGGTATCTGCTCCCACAAGATTTGGTCTTGGGAGCCCAAAAGGACCAAGAGGGTGGGAACCAACTTGACGACAGTGGGTGTCTGCTTGATTTAAGCACATGCGGTGCATGAGTGAGTGAAACATCTGAGTTGTTCCAGTAGCCGAGAGTCAGCAGATTGGAGCTGCGAGCCCTACGCACTGACAGCCCACTGCCTACTTTTGTCGGCTCATAAACTGAGGACCATCTTAGCATATGCAAATGGTTGGAAAGTAAAAAGGTTTTGTGGCATGAGGAGAGTATACAAAATTGCACCGGGGCCATGCTAACCTTCTCTGTGTCGTTCACATTTTGGTCTATGTGCTGCTTGAAGTGAGCACAACACTAAATGTTCACAGTCCTGAAGAACAGTGTTCCCGGGGACATCACCACACACTATGTGGCTGTTTCTGCACAACAGCAGAGCCGCTGTGATAGAAACCCAGCAGCCTGTAATGTGTGCAAACCTTCCCAGTGGAGCCCTTTCCGTCAAGCCTGCCTACCCAATACAGTTTTCTTATTTTGGGGAGTAGCAACTGGGGACTGAGAAAGCTGGTGAGAAGCCACCTTGGGTGCAACTTGCAGTTTCTCCCTGTCAGAAGAAAGAAGCATGGTATAAATGAAGACCCAGGGAAACTCTGGGCCAATGGACTACACCAAAACCAAACTCAACGCCATCAAGTCGGTGCTGACTCCTAGCAGCCCGACAGAACAGGGTGGACGGTGCTCCCAGACGTGAACGCAGCGTGCGGCACGGAGCAGGGGGCCAGTGCAGAGGCGTGGACACCCGCCCCTCCCCCAGAAGAATTTACTTCAGAGGATAGCACTGACCTGACGCTGCAGCTCAGGAAGAGGGACAGGTCTGAGCAGAGCACACAGGAGCAAATGAAGGGGGAGGAAGAGAGAGTGGCGCATATCCTGGCCCACCAAGCCTTGAGGACGATATTTCCAGTCAAAGCACTCAATCCACAGAGAGGACCATATGGCCGGCCCCACTACAAGACACGACATCCCTCACTGAC